TGAAGTCCTATGCTTAATCCCTGGCATCCTCAGCTACATAGCTAGTTCGAGGCCATCACACACTCCATGAGACCCTGTCCCAAAGAAAATAAAAATAAAGGTGGGATCGAAGATGATTTAACCAGTAAATGCAGAAGCCAGCAAGATGGTAACATAGGTGCTAACAGCATGTGAAGGGTTGGGTTTTCTGTTTTTGCTTGTTTTTGTAATCACCCGGAAGAGGGAAACAAGCATGTTGACAGACAGTTGGACTGACAGTTAACGTGGCTAGGTGTGGAGTTCTTATGTATTCGAATGTTCATCCTTTTAACCTAATGCGGAGGGTTTAGCCCCTTAGGAAATGCCAAGGCTGTCAGCACAACTAGACAGAAGATGCTTCTTACCTGAAGCAAATAAGGAAAGCACCAGAGATCATTCTCAAGACAGTATTCTCCCCAAGGAAATTAAGGGCCTTTTCATTAGGGTAAATTATGCATCTTTATACAGGAAAGGCTCATTACATGTTGAAGTGGGCACAGCCTTGAGCATGCCCAGTTCACTTCTCTCACTTTCTCTTACCTGCTCTTTCCTGCCTATCCCCTTTTTTTCCATAGTCCCTTCTTTTATGTAACACACACGTGCACATACACACTCTTTCTATGTGTGCTTGTTCATGTGTGTACATGCTCATTCATGAATGGGTAATGTAGAGGTCACAGGGCATCTGTATTAGTTCTTTTCTGTTGCTATGATGAGACACCATAACCAAGATTTTGTGTGTGTGTGTGTGTGGGGGGGGTTAGTTTTATGTCAACTTGACACAAGCTAGAGTCATCTGAGAGGAGGGAACCTTAACTGAGAAAATGCCTCCATAAGAGTGGGTGTGGCAAGCCTGTAGGGCATTTTCTTAATTAGTGACTGATGGGGAAGGGTCCAGGCCATTGTGGGCAATGCCACCCTTAAGCTGGTGGTCCTGGGTGTTATAAAAAAGCAGGCTGAGCCAGCCAGTAGGAGCAAGCCAGGAAGCAGTACCCCTCCATGGCCTCTGCATCAGCTCTCGACTCCAGGATCCTGCCCTCACTGCTATTGATAAGGAACTGTTTGTTATATGGAACTTAGTGAAATAAACCCTTTCCTCCCCAGTTGCTTTTGGTTATAGCAGTAAAAACCCCAAGATGGATGTTCATTTTTCTCTGTTATATGCTTGGATTTTCCCGAGTGCTATAGCCAGATCACATGGTAGTTTTAGCTTTTTCCTGAGGAGCCTCTATATTGATTCCCACAGTAGCTGTACTAATTTACATTTTCCACCAACTGTGTGTAAGAGTTTAGCCCCTATCCCCCCTCCACATCCGTGCTAGCATTTATTGTTTTCTAGATGATGCCCATCATGTCTAAGGTGAGATGGAATCTCAATATAGTTTTTCTTTTCCTCTCACCCTGTAGCCCAGGCTGGCCTGGAACTTTTGATAATGTTCTTGCCTCAACTTCCCAAGTGTTGGAATTATAGGTATGAGGATCACATCAAGCTTTACAATGCAGTTTTGATTTGCATGTCTCTGCTGGGCAAAAAAAAAAAAAAGTCAATTTTTAATGCAATTATTGGTCACTTGTACTTCTTTTGAGAACTGTTTGTTCAGTTTATTTACCCATTAATTGTTTGGATTATTTGTTGTATTGCTATTTAGTTTTGGGAGTTTGTATGTTTTAGATCTCAATCCCCTGTCAGATATGTAGTTTTCCATTCTTCAGGTATCTTTTCATTCTTTTTCCTTTGCTGGATAAAAGCTTTTTAATCTTGTGTAACTCTACTTGTCAATTCTTGTCAGTATGTCCTAGGTTATTGGAGTCCTTTTCAGAAAGTCTCTATCTGGTTGTTCTGGATGGTGGTGATGCACACTTTTTTTTTTTTTTTTTTTTGGTTTTTCGAGACAGGGTTTCTCTGTGTAGCTTTGCACCTCTCCTGGAACTCACTTGGTAGCCCAGGCTGGCCTCGAACTCACAGAGATCCGCCTGCCTCTGCCTCTCGAGTGCTGGGATTAAAGGTGTGCGCCACCACCGCCCGGCGGTGATGCACACTTTTAATCCCAGCACTCAGGAAGCAGAAGCAGGCAGATCTCTGAGTTAGAGGCCGACCAGGGCTACACAGAGAAACTCTGTCAAGAAAGAAAGGAAAGAAAGAGAGAGAGAGAGAGAGAGAGAGAGAGGGAGAGGGAGAGGGAGAGGGAGAGGGAGAGGGAGAGGGAGAGGGAGAGGGAGAGGGAGAGGGAGAGGGAGAGGGAGAGGGAGAGGGAGAGGGAGAGGGAGGGAGGGGGAGAGAGAGAGAGAGAGAGAGAGAGAGAGAGAGAGAGAGAGAGAGAGAGAGAGAAGAAAGGAAGGAAGGAAGGAAGGAAGGAAGGAAGGAAGGAAGGAAGGAAGGAAGGAAGGAAGGAAGGAAGGAAGGAAGGAAGTCTCTGTATCTGGAAGTGTTCTACCCTGTCATTTCAAAAAATTCATTTCTGAAAAAAGTTTAACTTATATGTATGTATGTGTACATACTTACAGGTATGTGTACACGTCTGCAATGTGCATTATATGTTTAGAGTGCTCTCAGGGGCCAGAAGAGGACATCAAATCTCTGGGGAATTAGAGTTACAGACTATAGTGAACTGCCACATGGATGCTGGGAACTGAAACCTAGGTCCCCTTCAAGAGCAGCAAGCCTTCTAAACTGCTTAGCCATCTCTTCAGCCCTGTGTCCATTTCCATACAGCAAGGCACAGGGATCTTGTTTCATACGTTTGTCCAGTTATCCCGACTATTTGGTGAAGAGACTGTCTTTTCTCCAAAACATGTTTTTAGCAACTTTCTTGAAAATGATGTGTATGTAGTCCCATGATTTTACTTCTGGGTTCTTTATTACATTGATTTCCATGTTTTTGGTTGTTTTCATTAGAATTTGTAGATCACTTTAGGTAACAGTCATTTTCACTACATTAATTCTACAGTTTTTGAGCATGGGAGTGAAAGAGACCCCCACATATGGGGGGGGGGGCTTCCTCCCGGACGCCGGGTTAGGTAAAAACCACATCCAAACACCTGTTTTCATAGTAATCCTTTATTAATCAGGGAAGAAGTTAAAGGGGCTGCTTTCTGACTCAGGCAGAAAAACAGCAGCAAATGACCTTGTGGGTGTAATTTTTAAGAGGAAGAAAAGGGGAGGTCTGAAGGGGAGGTCTGTGTTAGAATGTTCTAGGATGAGGTGGTAAAGGAGACAGAGGATGAGGGAGAAGGGGGAGGGGACAAGGGAAAGGTGGAAGGGCATTTGTCCCAAGAGGACAAAGGACTGCCTCTGGATAGAAAGAAAACAGACGCGACATATAGGCAAATGTCTGTTTATAAACGGCCGGTTAGGATGAGGTGTTATTTTAATTGGGCATGTTAATTAGGTGAACCAAAAGGGGCTTCTGATGGCTGGACTTTGGTAGTCAGCCTCAGGAGGAGGAAGTGGCCATCTAAAGGAATAGTCCTTGGTGGCTAGCTTTAGTAATCTAATGGGTTTCAGGAAGGCAGTGGGGATGGGGAGAAGGGCAAGGCGTGCCAGAGCCATGCTTGCCACGCTCAAGCTGGCCAGAGTCCCTTCAGTAGGTCTTTCCAACTTCTAGTGTCTTCCGTTTTTTTCAGTGTTTTAATGTTTTCGTATGATCTTCCTTTGAAGCGCCTGTTTGTTCTCCAATGCGTCTTTCTGGCACCCTTTAAAAACATTGGGTGGCTATAGATGCATGGGTGGCATCTGGGTCTTCTGTTCAATTCCATTGATCTACATGTTTACTTTTATGCCAGTATCAGTCTATTTTTGTTACTATTTACTCCAGCCAGACACAAGACACCGGGTTATTGTGACTATGAGCACTTTTCTTTACAGACCTCAGCTCTACTACCTGGGTGATTCTTCTACTCTTTAGTGCAGTGGGTCTCAACCTTCCTAACGCTGTGACTCTTTAATACAGTTCCTCATGTTGTAGAGACCCCCCACACACACCACAGAATTATTTTCATTACTTCATAGCTGTCATCTTGCTATGTTATGAATCATAATATAAATATCTGATATGCGAGCCCCAGCACAGGGTTGCAGCACACGGGTTGAGAACCACTGCTTTAGAACAAAGAAAGCTGGGCTGTCAATCCAGTGGTTTATGGGGCTGATTCCTCTCTCTAAATACCTCATTCTATGTCTGATCCTCAATTTTCACAAAGCAAAGAATTGACTATTGTTGTTCTCTGCTGTGGCATCACATTTCTGAAGAGAAATGTTTCCAGCCTGAGACTGCTCCCCTGCAGAGACCCACTACAGAGACTAACTCCTCTCCCTGTGCCACACTTCATATGAAAGCGGAGTTTCACTCTTGTGGGACAGTCCTTGTGCTCTATCAGAGCCAGCACAAGCCTGCATGACCCTGGCTTTTCTGTGTCACTGTGTGTCTGTCCTTCACCCCCCACTTGGCACAGTCAGGTCAGTGACAAGCCTCTGTGCACACAGAGGGACTGGAAAACAGCATGGCGGGTGTCATGCCAATGCTGACGTTTCACTGAGAAGAGTCAAAAGCAAGTCATGAAACCCTTTCATCAACTCTCCCAAAGGACTGGAAGAATATATAGTTAATATTCTAACCTGCCCCCTTAGAAACCAATGTTAGTATTCTGACTCGCCCGTTGGTGCCGCCCTGCGTCCTGATATAAAAGCCTCATTTTAAGGAAAAACCCCGCTTCTTCTCTTCTGATTCTTCCTCCCACGAGGATCCCCCTCTCTTTCTCTCTCCTCTCCCTCTTTTCCATCTTTCTCTTCGTCTCTCTATTACATATAATAAACCATTTCCAAACGGAGGCAGAGTCTGGGTTGTGAATGACTGTCTGCCGCCATGCCCATAAGGCGTGGGTTGCCCGCCAGCCTGACGCTGCATCTGCCCAGCATGCCAGCATGTTTCCCTGCACATGCAGGATACCCTCAGAATACCCCATGCAATACATCACAACACATATAAAGTTGGTAATGGTGATAAATCATAAATTTTATTTTCTTTATACTTCCTGGTATGTTTAAATGAATTATTTTTAGAATAAGAAAAAATTTCTAACATTAAAATACATGGAGCATGGAGTCTCTGCCAATTTTACTTGTGATGAGATTAATATCTGGAATACATAAAGAACTTTTTAAATCAAATACCAACACTCCCAAAAGGCCGATTAATGGGCAAATAAACTGAACAGGAAGTTCTCAAAAATAATTACAAATGGTTGCATTAACACTTAATTAAAAAAAATTACTAATGGCCAATAAATACATGAAAAACACTGTTCAACATCCTTAACCATCAGAGAAATACAAATCAAAACTCTGTTGAGATTTCATTTCACCCAGTCAGAAAGGCTATCATTAAGAAAATAAACAAATGCCATTGAAAATGTGGGGGGAAGAGGAACACTCACACACTGTTGGTGGGTTGCAGTTAGCGCAGTCACTATGGAAGTAAGCATGGAGTTTCCTCAGAACTAGAACTAGAACCACCACATGGCCTAACTATACTCCTCCTGGGAAGACACTTGGAGGAATCTAAACACACAGCAGAGAGACCTGCACATCTATGTGAATTACAGCAGTTAGTCACCACAGCCGGATTCTGAACTAGCCTACTAGACCATCAGTTGGTGGATAATGTAGCACATACACACAAGGCATTTCACTCATCTATAAAGAGTGCAACAGTGTCATCATCTGCAGGAAAATGGATGGAACAGGAGACCATGTTAAGCAAAATAAGCCAAGCTCAGAAAGACAAATACCAAAGCTGGGTATGGTGGCACACACTTGTAATTCCAGTACTCATTAAGGCAAGAGAATTGTTGCAAATTCAAGGCCAGCCCAGGCTATGAAACCAAACCAAACCAAAACTATAGAGCTTCAAGGGTTAGAGAGATGGCTCAGTGATTAAAAGTTGTTATAGAGAACCCAGGTTGGTTCCCAGAACCCACATCAGGTGGCTCAGAACAGCCTGCAACTCCAGCTCCAAAGGGATCCGACCTCTCTGGCCTCTGAGGACATCTGCACTTATGTGTCCACACACAAATTTAAAAAAATTAAAAAAAAAAAAACCTTCGCACAAACACTGTTTTCTCACATTAGTGCAGACTTTATTCAAAGCACACACACACGTACAGCAACTATCAGTGAAGAGGAAAGAGACCAGGAGGATGGGGAACAGAGGTCAATGGGAGATAAATATATATAATGAAAATGTCATGACAAAATCCACCATTTCCTAACACGAATAAACTAGTAATAAAAGGAATGAAGTACTGACTTGTTTTACAAAGTGAACATTGAACTCATGCTAAGTCAGACAAGCCAGACACAAAAGATCACAATTCTATTTATGTAAAACATCCAGAATGGGTGAACCTACAAAAACGGGAAGATTGGCGATTACTGTGGGTAGGGAGAAGGGGAGGGGAGGAGGAGCAACTGATTAATGGGCAGAGTTTGCCTTCAAGTTTAGAAAAATGTTCTAGAACCAGGGGGAAGTGAAAGTTGTCCAACATTATGAATACCACTGAAATGCACACTTAAAATGCTAAAATTTAACACATCAATTTCACTTCAATTATAAAATGCACAGGTCTTACACAATTCCATCAGTTTTAGCAAGCATGTTATCCATAAAACCAACACCCAAGAGTATAGTGTTGCTATCAACCACGGTTCCTCCTTTACCATTGTTAGAAAGGCAAACACCGCTGCTTTTAACACCCATAGCTGAGTTTCCCTCCAAATTTCAATTAACTATATATATTATGACCGCCACGTCTGGCTTCTCTCAATGCTTTGGGTCACAGGTAGATACGCTGTCTTTATAAATTACTGCAAGAGTTCAATTGTGATCATCTTATGCTCACACAAGTCACATGTGCAAGCTGCAATGGCTTTACCCACTCCATCTGGTCACAGCTACCTTTCAATCTTAACTGTACCCATTACCTCATTGTGAGCATGGCTTTAATTTCTACATCTCATGAAATGGTGGTCAGTGTGTGTGAGTGTGTGTGTGTGTGTGTGTGTGTGTGTGTGTGTGTGTGTGTGTGTGTGGTGTTTCTGAATCAGCTTTGGGCCAAGGAGTACGGCTCAGCAGTTGCCTACTGTTTGAGACCCTCAGTTAGATCCCCAGCATTGAAAAACAAAACAAAAAAAAAAATAAATAAAAAATAAAAATAAAAAAAATTAAAAAAGGAAAGAAAATCAGCTTTATTTACTTACTTTCAACTGTACAATTTTGAGGTCTGCCAACTATATACAGTTGTTATCACAACCACAATTAAGACAAAGATATTTCCAATGTGCCTCTTTACAGTCAATCCCCTAGCCCCTCCATCATCTATAGGTAATCCCCACCTTCTATGATGATCATTTCCTTTTCTAGAATGGAATCAGGAAGCATGTACACCTGCTTCTGGCTTCTTTCACTTATCCCAGTTTTCACGCTAATGTCTAAACAGTATCTACTGAACAGATGTGTTAATTTGTTCTTTCAGTAACTGCTGGACACATGGGCTTGTTCTACTTTTTAAACTACTCAACAGTTGATGAATGGGCCTGTGCATCCTTGCCTACAATACAGGCAACTCTACTAGCGGCTGTGCATTTTCAGACACGGGCATTTCAGTTGTGGAGCCTGTTAGTTTTACTTGTGCCCCTGGCAGCTGATAGGATTCTAAAATTTCAAGCTAATTATCTTGATCAAATCCACAGCTATAATTTCCCATGGGTAGACTCAAAGCACAGTTCTCCAGTCTATGTGGGGGTTGGTTCTAGGACCTCCCAGATAGCAAAGCACATGGTTGTTTCAATCCCTTAGGTAAATGGAGTACCATTTGCCACATTTAACCTGCACACATCCTGTGGTGGACTTCAAAATCCAGATTAACTATCACACCCAACACAACGCAAATGTCACACAAATGGCTGTACTGTTTTGGAACAGCGACAAAACAAACAAGTCGGGTCCTGTGGGCCACAGCCACCCCAGCCCTGACCTACAATCCCTGGCACTACTGCGGCTACTCCAAGAAGGAAAGAGTTTGGTAATCATTTTGATATTTTAGGATTCTTTTGAAATCTGCACTGTGAGGCTTTTTTTTTTTTTTTTGATGTCTTACACCCAATTTAATCCCCATAACTACATCCAAGAGATTGATATACTTGGTAACTAAACTGATATTTAGAAGATATAGAAACATTTCAAATGTTGGCTTCTCCTGTGGTAATAATCTCTGGTATTCTAATCTCGGCACATTCTGCTGGTTAAGGCACAAACGGGTCTTAGAATGCCACACTATTGATCCTGCTGTGACCTCTCACTAAGACCAACCTAAGACTGCTGCTGCTTCCACTGATCTGAAGCAGACAGAGGTCCCCAGGTGTTACAGAGGAATGGTCAAGGCTAAGCATTGCTGAAGAGGCTGGATCAAAATCCCAAGCGACAAGATACAGCTCTCGAAAAACCACTGTTTCCAGGCCCAAAGCAAACTAGACACTGCAGCAGTAATTACATGGAGTCTTCAGTACTAACGAGGAGCCAACCGTGGCCGCTGCCTAGCAGCCTCTGGCCATCACCTTATCCCAATAACTAATTCAGCTGAAGGACGTGGAAATCGCTGTGTGTGGATTAACCTTCTTCACGGGCCCTCAGCAGTGCTGAACTGCCACAGAAGCCACCAAGAATGTTCTTTGGCTATGGTGATAGGAAGTTACTTTCAGTAAACAGCTGCCACCCTGAGAATGGCCCCCAAGTGACACCATCCCCCGGTACAACTGCTAGTCCTCTGGCTCCTACCTGACTCAGGATCTGTCTTCCATGCTGCTTCTCTTAGACACCAGGTACTCACTCACTCTTGTTATTCTCTGCCAATCAAGGTTTTTGGGATAACTAAATTATCAATTCACACACATATTCATAACGCTTAATGTTCCCCTCCCTGGGATACCAGCATGCTATAAAGATGAACCCAGATAAGAGATTCCCAGGAATGGTGACATTCAAAGGAATAAAGAAAATTATGCACTAGGTGAAGGGGAGTGAGGTGTCTAGCACTGTTCTGACCTTTTCTGGGACATCTCTGTAGCTGTTCCCCTTCCTTCAAGGAACAGCTTTATTGGCCTGCCTCTGCTTCCTAAGTGCTGGGATTAAAGGCATGAGCCACCACACTGTTTCAAAGGAAGATTTTTACATTTCTTGCACAGAACAATCCCCTGGTGCTTTCGTTTGGCTTAGATTTTCACAAGCCTGCAGGGTAGGTCTCACGTTCATACTGTAATGAAAAAGACTCTATTTCATTCCTTGTCCCCAGCATTTGCTTCCATTCTTCCAGAGGCTGTCTAAGCTATAAACTTGGGAAAACAACTGAAGCGTTCTGGTAAGTATGTATTCAACTACACTTCCAAATTTAAAACTTTCAAAAACTATTCCTGTTTAAAAATCACTTTCAACTGAATGTTATCTATTGTTGACTCACCAGTGCTGAAATTTGCAGTGAAATAATTTACCAACATTTCACACTCTTGAGAATGAAAGGCAAGGCAAAACATTAAACCCCACTTTTTCTCCCACTAGCGCAACAGACCTATGGGCCTTCAAATGTAATGAAGACGAGATACACCATGTAGCTGGGCACAATGCCTAAAGGCTGCCCTGGCATTTATGAGGCCAGCCTGGGTCACACAGACACAAAGTAGAAACCGCCAGTGCACTGCCGTCTCATCGGGGTCCCCCAGTCCCTCCCTCTGGGGCCCCCAGTCTGCTGCAGTGCTCATCTTCTCTGCAGCTGCATGGTTGGAGACTGACGGTGTGATGGGGACCCTCGGAGGGCAGGCCAAGGAATCAAGTCCACGTAAAGGAGTGAACTGACTCAAACGGGCCTATGCACCGAACACATGCATTAGGGATAGTGCTGCTGAGCAGAGGCCTGTTTCCCCGGGCAGACAATGGCCCTTTGTCACATGTGCACTAGAATCCGGTAACCAGGAAAGGAGGGTGTTGGCTGTTGAGATCAGATTCTCTAGAACGGCCATGGACTTTCCCTCCACTGTGGACTGACTTTGAAGTCTTTATCGTTGAACAGGAAGCACCGACTAGGACTTTGCTATCCAGCTTTCTTCACAACTGTCAACAAAGCCTTAGGACTGACCGTCATGTCTACCTACTCTGTGACCTTGAACAGTCAGGTCTCTCTTATCTTTCCAGGCTCCATGCCAATTGGCCACAGGACTCCAGGAGCCATGAGAAAAGAAGTCTCCCTCTTTCCAAAGCTCAGAATAATGTGGACAAGACCAGGCTGAGACTGAGTTGCCGGGCTTCCAACCTGGTGTGCACAGGGTAAATCTTGTTTATCAGACCGGGCCAAGTGGCTTCTTCTATACCCACTGCTAGAGAACCCGGAGACTGCAGGTCCCAGGGTGGAGGGGTGCCAGGCTGAGGAAGACCACAGTTCTAGTAACGCTCTCCCACCTCAGGCTTCCTTGGGCTCTACTTCCCCACACCGGGGACAACAGTAGTGCTTCTGGTTCAGGGGCCAGCGTCCTCAGAGAGCTGTACACACAGTTCAGTCAGTCAGTGTTTATTCAGTGCTCAGTGTTTACTAGTCCAGAAGGGAGGTAGATAGAGCTGAGTATTAACTGTCAGGGCCAAGAAGCCTGTCCTGCAAGAATGATTGCGCTAAAACCCCTCTGCCAAGGCACCAAACCCTGCTCAAATCAAAACAGACTACAGGACTTCCTGTGTCGAGGAGAAACAGCTTGTTCCACCCTCCTCTACATAACCTGACCAAAATTATCTGGGATCTGGAGAGTCACAGAAGACGGAGGGCTACTGACTGGGTGGAACCTTAACTGGAGATATGTTATGGAGGTCACCCCAAGACCAGGATGCCAGGAAATGGGTACAGCCTGCCATGGTTTCCCCTGTTTGTCTTTGAAGAAGACTGAAGGTTTCTAGAAATGGCTCTTCAAAACCAGGATGTGTAGGGGACAAAAGACCTAAGGAAACCAGGCCTTTCAAGGAATCCCTCTCATTACAGAACAAGAGACTTCTGTGTGTTTAGCACGCTTTCTCCTCTTGAGCAACAACTCCAGCCCTGCATCAGGGCCTCAAAGAAATCACACATGGCTCTCAGAGTAGAAACCAAACCCTGCTTTATAAGGCTGCTTGGCCGTCACTGGCTTCTCTACTGAGATATGAGGCACCAGCCAGGCAGTGAGGTGACAGAGGGTGAACCTTCCTCACCTTCTCCCTGTCACCCCCACCCCTCCAGTCCTCCAGATGCTCATATCTACAATAGAACCACTTCAAAAAATACTCTGATGAGGGGCAAAGTGGAGGGCGGTGGAGGCTCAGGCTGGTCAGCAGGTTGGTTCCCTTGAGGTAGCTGAGTGCTCCCACGCAGGAGACCAGTCATGGGCTCACAGCAGTCAGGAGGGAGTCACCGGCTGACTGGGAAGCAGAGGAAGCAGAAACTCTGGAATTCTGCCCAGAGTACTTGAGGACAGGTAACACCTGGGTAGAGTGGTTGGCCTCTTTGCTGGTGTCCTCCTTGTTCTTGGAGGATGAAGTCTTCCTGGATATGGGGGAAAGGCCAGCTTGACTCTTCTTGGGCTTGGCTGGTGTCCCATCTTCACAGGACAACACGCTTCCCTCGGAGCAGCTTTGCTTTCTGAAAGGAAAAACACAGCTGAAGCTAGACTAACGTGTAATTTATGGCCCTCCAGTCTGAGGCAAGCACCCACACCATGATGGTACTGGAGACTAACTACCATATGGATGCACTAATAGCCATAAGATACATTCTATTACTGTGGCAGTGAGATCTCACGTACAAGCGCCAATTGGATGAAAGGGTAAGAGGCCTCAGGACTTCCTACAGACAGAGGGTACAGCTGAAAAGGGTCTGTTTCTGCAGAGGGGTCTTTGCTGAGCATCCCACAAGTCACCAGGAAGAAGATATTGTGGCTGTATATTCTGACATTCCTACCACCCCTAGGTGGAGAATCCCTTTCACAGTCACGGTCTGGGGAAAGAAGAAAGACACTCCAACTTCCCAACTCAACAGCCCTCTCTCACTGAAGTAGCACTCACCTTGATTTGATGCGTTCTGATTTGCTGATGGCACTGGGTGTCCCATCACCCTTTGCGCTAGTCATGAGTGATGTTGGCAGAGACCACTAGGAACAAAGAAAGCAGTGAAGGAAGAGCGCCAGGCTAAGTCCAAGAAGGAATGCTCAGGGTCTTGGGGTTCTTGTTCAGCTCCGCCACTCTGTGAACACAGGGCACTCATCTGCCCTATGCTACATCATGGACTCATAGTGAATAACTCTTGGTTCTCTCCCAAAAGAGACAGAAAGTTAAGGCTACGGATCATTTTTTCATCCTTCAAAGACAGACATCCAGTGTATTCAGTAAATAAGTACATCCTTGAAAGGGAAACAAAGAGGTGCGGACTGAGAGAGTAGGGAGAGGTGGGTACCCACATACCCACAAGCCAACCATAATGATAATGCACTTAGCTTGAGAAGAAGCTGTGCCCCTACACTGGTCCACTTACCAGTGGAGCCGAGTCGGAGACGATCCCCGTATGGAAGCCTTTGTAGCACCAATTCCGGAGCAGATCTACTCCTAGGACAAGATGAGCAGAGGTTGGGACTTAATAGGGAAGACTCACTTGCTCACCTCTTTTCCAAAGAAACCTATTTCTTGGCCTAATGGGATTGAATTTCCTACTAAACATGGCCTCCTGTGGGCCAGAAAGACGTATCACCTTTGAGCTTGTTTCCATGGTACTTCTGTTCCCACTGGGTGGTGAGAATGTTGAAATATCGTGGCTGCTCAAAAAAACGAAGATAACGAGAAGAGATTCGAGAAGGAAAAATTCTTTCAAATTGACCACGACGAGAAAACTCATCTTCCATCTCGACCAGAACCCGAACATCATCTGGTGTCAAGACATCCAGCACAGATGCATAGAAGTCCTGTAGTCCAGGGAACAGGAAGAAGGGCAATGTGACAGTGTGAGCCAGACACAGAAGCAAGCAGCTGGGGTAGGGAGCAGAGCTCTGGGGCTCTAGTCTCCAGGACTCCTGTGGGACTCCCAACGCTGCCTGATCTGAGGTGTGCCAGCTCTTCGCCTTATCTCTCCCTAAACCCAATGGACGGAGCTCCTGAGGAAAGACACTCTTGGCTAGAGCCAAGGAACCATCTGGGCTGAGGGAGAAGAGGGTGTTGTTGAGTCATGGCCAGTGCCCAGCAAGCCCGATTTGGCAGCCTATGCCCACCTTTCTCACATGCAGGCCCCACATTTACTTTGAGAAGCTCAAACCTCTATCTCCCAATGGTTCTCAGGGGGAGAAGTCCACAGGGTTAAATGTGATGGTTCTCCCAAGAGTGAGCTAAGATAACCCAGTGCTGAGAGCATGGTGACAACCACCCACTGTCCCAGAAAGATGCAAGTTCCAACAAATCTCTGCATATAACAAGATCCCACTTGGTAAGAAACTCTGATCTAGACAGGAAAGCTCATCTTCCTGGAGCCTGTGCAGTTTGGCCGAGGGCTGTTGGTAACTGGAGGGAAGAGAAATCTCCTACCTGGTCAGGAATTTTCGGGGTCAGGTAATAGGCTTTCTTCATCTTCTGTGCAGTAAAATGCTCTGGAGACATTTGACATTTGTCCCCAGGAGAACTTGGCAGGCTAAGGCAGAGGTGGACAAAAAGCAACAGGCAGGTCAGCAGCTTCGTGTGCTGAGAAAACACGGCAAGAGAGAGGATCCAGTGCGAGACTCCTTCCCAAGCACAGATGAAGACACATGGAGATGCTTGTCCCTTGAATGCATCACTCTAAAGTACACTCCATTCAAACAGCTTGTCGCCCACAACCACACCACTAGATATCTGAAAGAGGCAGGGACACCAATTTGACAAAAAAAAGCCCGGAGTAAGCCTGATTATTGGATGCTTCAGTTAACACTCACTACAAATCAAGCTCTGCCCTATTGGCTGGGGACTCTGGGCAAGACACTTAATCTCTGGTACTTCAGTTTCATTATCCATGTCATTATGATCACTCAATCACTAAGATTTTTTTAACTCTTTCAGACAGAGTCTAACTCTGGAACTCAGGATGGCCAGGAACTCACTATGTAGTCCAAAGCTAGCCTCAATCCTCCTGCCTCCTTATGGGATTATAGATATGGGCCACTACATGGCTATGGTCACTGTTGAGATATAAAAATGGCTAGCAGGCCAATGAGATGGCTCAGTAGGTAAAGATGCTGGCCACCAAGCCTAATGACCTGAGTTCAACTCCTGGAATCTACATGTGTCTGGTACCCCAAGAAATTCCTTTAACCAAAGAGGCTTGAAGAAAGTTCCAATTTGATAAAAAAAAAAAAAAAAAAAAAAAAAAAAAGTAGTCATTCTCCTTGTCTCTGACAAAAGGCACCTGTGGCTCTTCCATTAACATTAAGACTACAGTACCTACTAACTTGTCAAGGTCAAGGCTACCTCTAGGCTCACTCAGTACCTGCTTACCAGTCCCACCCCAGCTCACAAGCTCCCTTTCTCCAGTTCCCACATAACCCTAGAAAGAACCATCACTTCTCTCTGCTTTCCCTGGGAGACAGCCTCAGCGGCTTCAGTACACTTTCCCTTTTACCCTGAGTGGCTTTTCTTTACTGAGCCCATTTTTCGTTCTTCTGGTGAGGAAACCCCAGGAGCAGCATAAATGAGATCCCTTCCAAGGGACTAAGCTACCCCGAACCAAGCTGTTGATCTGACAATCCTAAGGGAGGTACGGATCAATAGTTTCTGCTGGCTTTTGCCACCTACCATATTTGGCCTTGTTCCAAATTCTAGAAACTACCTCTCCTCTCTTGGTTACTCTGGCTCCTGAAGTCTGCTATGCCCACATGGCAATGTCTCTCTAGTGGGTGTCACTCCAGAGCAGACTGCTTTATTTACTATTACTACAAAAGCCAAATCAGTGTGCCAGGAAGCTCCTCCTGCCCCTCTTGGGCTCCACTCACAAGGACAAGGGACACCTTTCCTCTGTGATTTGGAACATTTCTCTTTGACAGGTTTCCATTCTGCATGGGGACACACCAGATGGAAATTCTTGTCACAATGACACTTTATGCACCTCAGTTCAGCAAGCATTCTTTCTCCTTCCTCTAGGAACTTCAATTCCACCTGCAGTCCCACTAGGCTATCTCTCGGCTCCCACTTGCCTGCTCTGCTCTATCTCTTCCTCAAGCCCTCCTAGGCCTCTCCTTCCTTGGGGACGGCTCCTCCCACAGCTTCTCTAGGCCCAAGCACTGCTCTTCTACACGTTCTCTCTTGGGGCTTATAGTAAACCCTTTGTTGTGAAATATTTGTTTACACTGTGAAGATGTGTCTTTGCCAAAGTGCCTTCTGATTGGTTTAAGAGAGCTGAATGTCCAATTGCTAGGCAGGAAGAGAGGTTAGACGGGACTTCCAGGGACAGAGAGAACTCTGGAAGAAGAAAGGTGGAATCGTCAGCCAGACAGGGAGAGGAGACAGGAAGTGCAAGATCGAAGAGAGATAAAGTCACATGGCAGGACATGGATTAAAAAATACGGGTTAATTTAAGTTATAAGAGGTAACTGTGACAAGCCTAAGCTAAAGGCCAAGCTCTGGGCCATTATTTACTTGATGGCAGTTCAAAGATGGTCTGACAAGAAAGCTTGCTACAAATGGCACCCAACATGGGGCCATGTATATCCACATAAGGCCTGAGAAAGCTTAAAAAAAAAAAAAAAAAAAAATTCAGAACATGGAGTGTCAGACCTGGTGACCATGGTCTCCTGGGTAGGCTCAGCATACAGAAGCACAGCTCTTTTAAGAGGCCCTGCTGTGCAGCAGAGCACTTGAGTAGCCAGTCCACTAGGTAAAAAAGACCTGCTACTTGGACTGAGCAAATTCCCAGAGCTGGGGCAATAAGGCTCTGGCCGGTACATACACAGTACAGATACAGACACACAGCTAGGCTCCCACCAAACTGAGCAAGGTGAAGCCAGCCACCAACGCTGCAGGTAGCCTAGCCATTTAAGGTTTGTCTCCCCTGGTCAGAGGGCTGCAGGCACAGAGTAAAGTGGTCCAGACCAAGAAAACCTTTAAACAGACACAGTAAAAAAAAAAATGGGTATAGTCATAAAAAAAAAAAATAGTTTAAAAACAATAAAGTCTTTAAAGAAATAATAATAGAAAAAGAATAAGCCACATAAGGATGGGAAATATACAGGGCATCTAGATCCTGTATGGTGCTCTGTTGACTTTGAATTTTTTAAATACTAATGTTAAAAAAAAAAAAAAAAAAAAAAAAAGCTCCTGAGAGACATTGGATAATGGAAACTGCTAAATTAAACCAACCTATATATTTTAAGACTATCTTGGCTTCAAAATGGAAGTCAGGAAATGTGTTGAATTGGAGGAGAGGTTATGCCTTTGTTTCCACAGGAAACAACAAGTTATGGTTCTCTTTAAAATTAATAAAGGTCAGATTGATCAGGGGAGACCTGAAAATCTTGGCTACAGACATGAAGAAAAAAAAAAACAAGACAGACTACAGGACAGGCTTATCCCTCTACTATGGGAACAGCTCTGAGACTGGATGAGAAATCTTGTTGGCTACAGAGTCCTTATGACAGCTTGGTTATGCAGTCCAAATAGACTTATAAAGTTGACAGATGTCTTTTACCTGCACAAACATAGAACAAAAAATCATCTTTAGTTGACTAGTATACACTGCACATTCCATACTTGTGTTAACATAGATTATATATATATGCTACCTTTAAGAGTTTGTGTGTTTTCAGAAAAAAGATCAGACACAATAAAGACAAGGACCCAGGTGATCCAACCTCTCAGAATGCTTCTGTTGCAATTTCATCAAAATTCTGCATCTAGAACAACTTCAAAGCTGCTAGCTGAGATGGTCTGGCCGTACAGACTATCCAGCCAAGGCTTCAGATAAACTCTACACTTTCCGATCACATAGAAACTAAACAAAAAATAATAAGAGCTAGCTCTCCCAGGACTTGATCATTATCCCAATTTTCTTAGGGTCCCCTAAAAATGCCAGCGCTCTAGACAACAGAAAGCAGTTGAGAAAATATGACCCCTACTTTCCCAAGAGGTGGGGTTGGTGGGTTTTGCTTGTTCGGTGAGTTATGGATGTTTGTCATCATTTAGTGGGGTTGGTTGTAAATTGTTACAGATCATGGTAAGGGAAGAAACTAAGCAAGGGAGGTTAGATTCAAGGATCTCTTTTTTAAAAAAGAAAAGTGTGTGTGGGGGGGGAATATAGGAATGCTAGGATAAAAAGTAGATTATTGAATCTACTTTAAACTAAAAAGCAACTATTAATCACAAATCTTTTTTTTTTTTTTTTTTTTTTTTTGGTTTTTCGAGACAGGGTTTCTCTGTGTAGCTTTGCGCCTTTCCTGGGACTCACTTGGTAGCCCAGGCTGGCCTCGAACTCACAGAGATCCGCCTGGCTCTGCCTCCCGAGTGCTGGAATTAAAGGTGTGTGTTACCACCACCCAGCTGTTTCTGTCATTTCTATAGTCTGGAAATTGCTTGCTCTGTATGTCCTGTTACTCAGGTAATATTATATCCTTCTCAGGTCTCTGATGGAGTTGAAGACTAGATAGACAGTTACAGTTTTCCTTGTTACCAAATTCAGAAAAGAAACTCACAAAAGAGGCAAAAAGTGTCTAAGGTTGAGGAACATAAAAGCATGTTTATCTAAGAAAAGGTTTTAAGGTCTAAAAAGGTATTTTTAGGATGGTAATACAACTTATAATAGAAAATGGTTTAGGTATAAAACTTTGGACTCACTGAGGTAGGACAGGTAATACAATAGTTTCTCTGAATTTTCCAAATACAAATGGACTGGACATTGTGATGTAAATTCTTACCTGATAATTGTCCTTGTTGTTTATAGTTTTACTGTGTTAAGAGTTAAAACCTTCCCTTTTTATTTAGACAAAAAGGGGGAAATGTTGCAGAGTATTTGTTTACACTGTGAAGATGTGTCTTTGCCTGTAGAATTTCATTTTACAACTCTCTTTCCTTCTTGGACTACAAACAACTTGGCCTCAACACAGATCAATGGCCAAAGGTTGTATGCTCCATTTTCAAATTCTCTCATATGGTAACAACTTCTGCCACTGCACAAGCAAATGATCCCCGAATCGCTTGTATCTAAATTTCCTCTGCTCTACACTTCCAAAGCTCTTATCTTTAAGGTTTTTCTGCTTCCCACTTAAAAATCTTTTATTCTATAATTTCTCTACCTTCTACTCTCAAAAAATCTCTTACGACTATGCTGTAAACTCTCTCAAGATTTTTAAATTAATTGGGCATGGTTACTAAATCTATAAAAATCATTACCTAAATTTGGCTTGAAAGATAACGAAAGGTTTATAGCTAAATCTTACGTGGGTAATCTCAATTTACTACAACTTACTACACATGTAACTTGGATTCAACTCTTGTTTAAAAACATGAACTTACCAAAAAAAGATATTTTAAATAGTAACCACATGGTTGGCAGCCATCTTTACTAAGGTTAAAGGATACGTGGCATGCGACTTTATCATCTTAAGGTGACCACTAAGGTAACACCTATAAAACCTCTTAGTCCTACTGAGTCCTTGGTTTATCACTGTATCTCCTTTTAGACTAAGGAAGCAACAGCAAGTCTCCAAAATATTTTGGATTCGTATGTATTTTTGTATGATGAGAAATTCCCAAGGTTATAAAGGTATACTCAGGTTAACAGAACTTAACTTAGAAATGTATGTCTAACCACTTATGTCTTTGCTAACTCTGTTCAACACTAGGCTTCTAAAAAAATTTTTAAATAAGAAACAACATAGGTATGTTTGATAAATAAAATTTATAAATTTGGGCTGGAGAGATGGTTCAGAGGATAAGAGCACCAACTGTTCTTCCAGAGGTCCTGAGTTTAATTCCCAGCACCCACATGGTGGCTCACAACCATCTGTAATGAGATCTGGCACCCTCTACTTCGTACATAATAAATAAATAAATAAATCTTAAAAAAAGGATTTAGGGCTGGAGAGATGGCTCAGTGGTTAAGAGCACCGACTGCTCTTCCAGAGGGCCTCAGTTCAATAGTTCAATTCCCAGCAACCACATGGTGGCTCACAACCACTTGTAATGAGATCTGGTGCCCTCTTCTGGCCTGCAAGGACACATGCAGGCAGAATACTGTATACATAATAAATAAATAAATCTTTAAAAAAAAAAAAAAAAAGGATTTATAAATTCCTAAGGTCTACTCAGGTTCACAATAATATATGTTTTAGCCTCTTTGCCTTTGCTAACTTTGTTAAGTTTCAGCTATTTGGATAAACTGAGCCATACAAGAAACTATGATGTTCTATAATGGTGCACGATAAAAGACTAACTTCTAAAGAGTTATATAATTCATTTAGTGACAAGTTTTATTTAGCCTCCTGTATATGTTTAAAGCAAGTAACTTAAAACAAGTTTGTTGAAATCAGGTATACTCAATAGATTATAGTCCTCAAACTCTTCAGAGATCTGCTGAATAAGGCATTTTTAATTAAAAAAAAAAAAAACTTGCCAGGGTCTGGAGAGCTGGTTCAGAGGTTAAGAGCACAGGCTGTTCTTCCAGAGGGCCTGAGTTCAATTCCCAGCACCCACATGGTGGCTCACAACTATCTATAATGAGATCTGGTGCCTTCTTCTGGCATGCAGGCATACATGAAGGAAGAATATTATATACATAATCAACAAGTAACTCTTAAAAACAACAAATATCTTCCAATGACAGAAATGCCAGCTCCTACTGGGAACTCTAAGGTATCCAAAGAAGATAGATGGAACATGACTCCACCTGATTTGTGGTCACTCACACTGGGCAAAACTTCCCCATGCCTCAACTTGCCACCAGGGCTCTACCCAAGCTATGGACACTGTTGGGTTGACTGCCCTATCTCTCAGACCTGGGTCTGGTAGCCAAAGGCTGATGCTGCTCTATGTTGTAGCTGAAGATTTACTGCTATCCTGTATGGAAGCCAAAAAGAGACCACTGCTCAACGAAGCCGCCGCCGGAGCCTAGGGCAACCTTCTAGGTAGTAGGTAAGTCTCTGTCATTGTAATTGATACATAGGCCATTTGGATTATATTTTTATTACTTTTTGTAAACTTAAACAATTCTTATAAGCTTCAGGGAGTCCACTTGGATCTACCTCTCACAGGTCAAACAGAAAGAACTGACTCCCTTTTGGCAAATGGAATAATTCAGGTAACTGCAGGACAAGGCCAAGTTTACCTCCAGAAACACAGGGGGTAAAGTAGGTCAGTTACCAAGAAAATCACTTTTGTTTATTTTTTGTGTTTTAAGATAGAGTCTCACTCTGTATCCCAGACTAATCTCTAACTTGCATGAGATGTCCTGGCCTGCACCTCTAAGTGCTGGGATCACAGGTGTGAAACAGCATGTTCTGCTGGGAGCCAGAATTCATACTCTACCCCCTCATTCTCTTGGGCTGAATTGATTACTGTTATAGGATCTTCAATGTCCTTATTTATAAACTACAATACTAATATGCAGGCTACAGAATTGAGTGGATAAACTGTATTTCCCTAACTACCCCCGCCCCCCCAACCCCAGTACTTACTAAACATTAGTTTCCTCAAAAATAGTTTCAAAACTTTGGAGCGATGAAGGAAAAACTCCACACTGAAGTGCTTCAGAAAGATGTCTAGAACTAGGTTTTGATGGATAGAGAATCTGAATGAGGGCATCTTTAGAATGAAGAAACCACATAAGCAGATGAAAGAACACTACATAGTCCTTAAGGATCTGCCAGGGCACCAGAATCAAGCAGAGTAGAAACATACACCCAGGAAAAATGGCTGGGGCCTCCAATGTCCAGGTATGGAGGTTAAATTTGATCCTTGGGTCCTGTAGAGATTCTGAACATAAAGTAATCAGACTTACTTCCAGGGTACTGATATGGCAGTGGTATGTGGACAGACAGCAGAAGCAGACTGAGCCATAAAGGAGACCACACAAGCGAGAGGCTCCCAAACCCATTCCTTCCCCAAATCACAATGGGCTGCTCCTGCTGCCATCCCAACCTAGAGAAGCTGAGAAGCAGACCTGGTGCTGGAGCCGCTGGAGCTGCTGGGGCTGCTGGAACTGGAGAGGATATCTTCCATGGTGGGCAGAACGAAGCCTGCCAGGTTCAGGAGGTCTCGGATCATCTGGCCTTTGATGCTGATGTCCAGGGGAGAATTGGAGTGGAGGCTGCAGGGAAGAGTGCAGACCAGGGTCAAAGCAGCACTCCAGAATGATTTGGGGTCCTCCACCAAAATCAGGGCTTCTTTTGTTTTTTTTGGTTTTTCGAGACAGGGTTTCTCTGTGTAGCTTTGCGCCTTTCCTGGGACTCACTTGGTAGTCCAGGCTGGCCTCGAACTCACAGAGATCCGCCTGGCTCTGCCTCCCGAGTGCTGGGATTAAAGGCGTGCGCCACCACCGCCCGGCAAAATCAAGGTTTCTTATTTCCTGGCTTCTTTACAAGAAAAGAGACTCCAATACCACATGTGTGAGCATCTTCAGCAAATATGCTCAACTGGGTATGGTGGCACACGCCTTTAATCCCACCACTCAGTAAGAAGAGGCAGGTGCCGGGCGGGGGTGGTGGCGCACGCCTTTAATCCCAGCACTCGGGAGGCAGAGCCAGGCGGATCTCTGTGAGTTCGAGGCCAGCCTGGGCTACCAAGTGAGTTCCAGGAAAGGCGCAAAGCTACACAGAGAAACCCTGTCTCGAAAAAAACCAAAAAAAAAAAAAAAAAAAAAGAAGAGGCAGGTGAGTTCAAGGCCAGCCTGGTCTACAGAGAGAGTTCCAGAACAGCTAGAGCTACAACAGAGAAACCCTGACTCAAACAAACCAACAACAAACAAACAAATACCCTCAAAGACAACAAATACCCTCATGCAGCTTGGTGAACTTGCCCACGCCCTTGGTTTGCTAGAAAATGGTAGGGATCAACAACTTTTAATAGCACTTTTCTATTCTCAAAGATCCTTAAGTTAACAGCAAAGAATCAGTGAATGAGTATAGACATGACAGGAAGATACATATCCTAGTGAAGGAGAGACCTTCCCAAGTCAACAAGACGATAATGACAGGGATTCTGAGGATGAAAGGTGGATTCTACTCAGAGTAACTAACAGTACCACCTACCTACCTTGGGGAAATGTTGACTTCTAGGACCCAGGGCTTTAGGTTCTCATCCAGCATGATGTCAAAACCAAAGAGTTCATGACAGCTGTAGGGGCGCCGCACATACAACTTCAGTAAGTTGGTCACGTAGGGCTCTGACCTGCCGGTGGGATATCTTGAATTAAGAGGGCAGAAGCCACTTTCTCTTTTAAAGTGCCTCCTCAGAGCCAACAGCGGATGTATGCGTACAATCCCCATGCAGAAAACAGGGAAATAATCTTGGCAATATCAGACTATCTCAATCACGAACACCACCCACTCCCATCCCAAAACAGTAGCTCTTAAGAGATGTGCCTGATCTGGGCCATCACCTTGATGAAGTTTGGTAAATGAGAGGTATGGTGGTCTGAGTGAGAACGGCTTCCATAGGATCATATATTTGAACAGTTGGTTTCCAGTTGGTGGACTGTTAGGGAAGGATTAAGAGGTGTGGCCTTATTGGAGAAGGTGTGTCACTAGTGGTGGGCTTTGAGGTTTCAAAAGTCCAAACTATTCCCAGTTAGCCCCCATGCCTTGTGCTAACTCCCTGGAATCCTAAACCCCAAATTAAATGCTTTCTTTTATAAGTTGCTTTGGTCATGGTGTTCTTATCACATTAACAGAAAACTAAGAAAGCAGAATTTAACTCTACTTCTTCCTATCTGCTGTCCTCAAAACTGAAACACAAAATGGGCACAGCTTCAGGGCACAGCTTCAGGGCGCAGCTTCAGAGCGCAGCAGAGAGGCAAGGAGAAAACATGAGGGTTCATGGCACACCCAACAGCCAAAGGAGCACTGAAACTCACGAGATGATGGTTTTGACAACAACATCCTTTATCTTCTCCCAGATGATATCACTATTAATTCCCTTCTGGCTCAGGTAATTCCACAAAGCCTTCAGTGCCCTGAAGGGAGAGAAGGAAGGACTTGTGCTTAGTCCTAGAAATGAGTGATGAGAAAAACAAGGAGTAAGGAGGTAAAGACACCTTCTTTGTATTTCCCCAATGGTATCTGGACATAAGAAAGAGATGCATTCGGATGCAAACAGACCAATTCTGAAATGACAAGTGCACTAATATTCCTCAACTCCTGCCCCAAACCTCCCAAAGGCAAAGAAAGCCCTTCCTAGGTTCAAGACAGAGTTTTGATCGGGACACACTGCCCTCAGTACCATTTGTGGCCCTGGCAGGCTGTCTCATCAGCGTTGGCCTGGTACTCGGCATTCTTTTTATTGACACTGTAGTTGGTCAGGTGCATGAACTTGTTGCTAAGACTCTTCATGGAAGGCGAATACCTGGAAGTGAGAAAATGGCAGAGGCATGATGGCGAGAAGAGATGGAGAAGAGGCCAACTATTTCCCCAGGAAGGAGATAAAGGACAAGTGCTAATCCACTCGGCAAGCTCAGGAACTCTTTCCTCATTTCCCACCCTCCCACCTTCCTTACTGACGAAAACCACTACTAAGCTATCTGCTCCTTTTCTGCTCAGTGACGTCATCCCGAGGAAAGGAAATCTCCCAGTGTCAGGGGAATGCCTCACCACCAGCACATACTTGCAACTGGCAAAGCGGACGAGTCCATCCGAAAAGAGGTAAATCCGTAGAGGATCGTAAGAAGTAACGTAAACGTAGATCCGAAGATCAAATTTGCTGCCACTAATGAGGTAGGGTTTGTGTAGATACCTACGGAGAGGAAAGGCTACCTTTACACCAGCCGGATGAGTAAGGAGCTGTGGTGAAAACCTTCAACAGTTGACTAAGGAAGGTCTTTGGCTGGGAGGTCACGAGGTACAACACTCTAAGAAGGGAATTCAGAGACCAAGAAGACAGGAAGATGGAGAGGAATGTGAGCTAGATAGGCTCACCTCTGTACCAGGAGGGGCCTGCGCTTGGGGAGCTGACTCCATTTGTGAATGACCTGAATGCCAATGCCTCGAGCAGATGCTGGCTAGAAGTCAAAGGGAAGGAGATGAGATCTGCTGTCTTTCCCTCTCGTCCCATCATCTACTTCTCCCTTTGCCCCACTCACTGGCTTCACAATCCACTTCTGGCGGCTGCTGCTCTCCCAGGCTTTGCGCAGGAGCTTGGCATCCTGGGGCAGGATGAAGGACTGGGGGAAGAAACTGAACTCTTTCTTGCCAAAACGGCTCTGCATGCGAGACAGGTTCCGCCACAGCCGGTCCTTCCTCCCAATCTGGAAGGAGCCTGGGAAGTGGTTTAGCTACAGAAGGCAAAAAGGCAAGTAGAGGGGAAGGCAGAGGTGAGACCAAGAAGAACAAGAGAAGCCCCGCCCACCAACACTCCAGCATCCCCCGCAAAGTTCATGTTCCTTTTTCTGCCACCATCTAGACACAAACCAGAGTCACCCGGCAAGGGTGAACTAACCAGGGAACTGCCTCCACCAGACTAGCCTGTGCCTGTGTCTATGGGGGCATTTTCTTGATTAACTATTGAGGTGAGAGGGCCCAGGCCCACCTAGGCAGAAAGCAAGCTGAGCAAACCATGGAGAAGGAGCCCATAAGCAGTGTTCCTCCACAGTCTCTGCTCAGCTCCTGCCTCAGCTTCCCTCAGTGATAGACTGAGCTGTAAGCCAAAGTAACCCTTTCCTCTCCAGACTGCTTTTGGCCAGTGCTTTATCACAGCAAGAGAGAAGCAAACTAGAAGAGTCGTGACAGTCACTTGGAATACAAAGGAAAAACTATTACCTATTTTCCCATGACAGCATGTGAGACAAGACCACTGGGAAATCTAGGGGCATGAGGACACAGTGTTCCAACAGAACCACAGAACACTCGTGACATAAACATAGCTTGTGGAGTAGAATCAGTTAGTGGTAATGGGAAATTCATCCAACTGAAAACAGACAAGGCCTCTCAAGACACAGAATGAAAATCAGCTGAGCAGCAACAGGCCTGGGGTGGGAGACACTTTGCTAAGACCCCCACTGTGTTCTCCAGAACTCTCCTCTCCAACTGTCCTCACATGAATGCTCTTCCAATGTCCCCTCTCACTGCCCCAACAACACTCTCATCCTGGCCTAGTCCTTGGAAAGGACCCACCTTCTGGTGCTCTCGAATGGATCGAAAACCAGGAGACTTCATGTGGTGACCCCAGCAGCCCAGCCAGTCATCATTCCCTGCAGAAGGCAATCAGAAGGTCGGTCTCACTTAATAGCTCAGACTCTGGGACAGAACAAGGCCTCACCGATGGACTCACAAAGGTGATTTAAGAGTTACCATGGAGCTGCCCTACATGAGGCCTTAAGACCAGGGCCAAAACAATGGTCTTCTGCCTCCCAATTCTGAGCAACTGGCTCAGCCCAGAGGATTTTTAGAGTTACACCCTTCTATGAGGTTGGAAGCTTCAAGACAGGGTCCCCACATACAACAAGGGGTCTCTAAGGCTCTCTTCCTGCCCAAACCCCATCTGGCAGGGCAAGGAGGTCAGTGGGAGAGTAACTCACTCTTGCTGATTTTGAAGTGCGACCGTCCAATGGTCTGCTTGACTATGTTGGGGGTCACTGTGCTCATCTTCCACCGCAGAAGCTTCCTCTGTTCCCAGGGAAGCTTCTCCACTGGGGAAAGGCAAGGGCAGGAGGGTCCCAGTGAGGAGATGAAAAAGATGGCAGTGGTACCATCCTTTCCTGGGCAGACAGATCACTACAAATGTTCCAGATCAGGTTTTAGAGAAGTGCACTTTATGGAAAGGGGGCTGTGCAGGAGTGAGGAGCAAAGGAAAGGTTGGAAGGGGGAAGAAACCGATTAGAGGCTGTGTGCTAAGTCAGGGTTGATTATGAGCCTGAGAAAGGCCAACAAAGGACAGACATGCAAAGTCCACTATTGAACCTACATCCCCGTGAGAACTGAGCACAGGGCAGTAACTACTACAAGAGCCATTCTGGAAGAGCCTCCCACCTCGTCCCCTCCACCCAGGTTAGCTAGCATCCTCCTGTGAGTTCCTCTGGATTTTGTCCCTTGGTTACATTTACCTCTTTCATCCCGAGTTCCAAAATAAATGGTAGGGGACACATTGGGGAAGAGACTGTAGATGAGGGCTGGTCGTACAACTTTCTCATGATTGGGAAGGGATTTGGACATTAAATCCACGCAGTTCCTGTGATGGAAAACAAATAGAGCATGGGAAAGTGACAGCTTTGAGGTGTTAACAGGATTGCATATGACTCTGAAAAGACAAGTGTTTAATAGTCATTCTGCAAATATGAACTCCTACAGTGCTAACCTGCCTGTAGTTATGGACACTACCAAGTGTCAAAGAGCCCAACACTCTGATAGTACATCTCCAACACATCCCATGGTAAGTCACAGATTGGGGGATCCCCAGAGGAGTTCTGAAAGAGGGAGTCTGGGTGGACCCTAGGAGAAAGGAGAAGACTGCTACACTACAACAAGGTGCGGGAGGAGGACAAGGATGACAGTGATAACTGAAAGGGAGAGGCAAATGCTGACGTTTGGTTTGGGTTTCTTCCAGACAGGGTTTCTCTGTGTAGCTTTGGCTTTGCCTGTCCTGGAACTCCCTCTGTAGCCCAGGCTGACCTCAGACTCACTGAGATCACACCTGGCTCGGCCTCCCGAGTGCTGGGATTAAAGGCGTGCGCCCCCACCACCCGGCCCGGACATATTTTAAGTGAGGAACGAACAAAGGAGAGAAAAGCAACAGTGGGACCGGGCCTAAGCTCCGGCTCACGTGCAAACATGGCCGGCTCGTGTCCTTCTCTACTCGTGACTCCGACGGCAACCCGGGTCTGGATCTATCTCAGAGACAGAGGGGGGCGGCCCCTGGGCCAGGGTCTTTACACTGAACTGATAGGAGCCATAAATATTACCGTAAGATCAATTTTCACATTGTAAAGAAAAGAAGAAAAACCAAATATCTCAGTAGCAGAACCCTTGCCTAGCAGAGAAGGCCCCGAGCTTGATCCCTAGAACTGTGACAATACTTTTTTAAAAAGTTACTCTTGTTATTTTCAGTACAACAGAAACAAGCTCTATATGTAAAACAATTCAGTGTTCCGTAACCTATGATTTTTAAAAAATTTTTTTTTTTTTTTTTGGTTTTTCGAGACAGGGTTTCTCTGTGTAGCTTTGTGCCTTTTCCTGGAACTCACTTGGTAGCCCAGGCTGGCCTCGAACTCACAGAGATCCGCCTGGCTCTGCCTCCCGAGTGCTGGGATTAAAGGCGTGCGCCACCACCGCCCGGCCTAAAATTTGTTTTAAAGATAGGAGTTTCTACAGAAAGGCAAGGCTGGTCTCAAATTCCTAATCTTCCCACCTCAGCCTCTCAAGTGCAGGCATTAGACATGCACCACCATGCCCCACCAAACAAGGAACACTGAAGAGAACGAGCCACGCTACAGAACAGAGACAAGGCAGGAAGATACGGGGGCACAGAAAGCGTCCGTCCGTCCACCCTACAGCTAGCAAATGCATTTCTGGACGGACCCATGGCTCCGAGAAATAAAGACTGGTGCATTGCAGGATATTTCATCACACTGTGAACCCCAAGATTGTGTTATTACTGGAAAAACCTGTTTCTAGTTGTCGTACAGCTCAGCCCTGGCACACACTTTTAAGCTTTCTGCTTAAATAATGTAAACAGGATTAAAATAAAGTCAACCATAGGTCAAGAGGTGGAGCAGGCAACCAGCTGACAGGAAGGGAACATAGGATTATTAAGAAAAAAAAGAGAGTAAGAGGGAGTCAGGAGGATGGATAAACACACAGGAAGTGGAAGGGAGGGACATTCAGTTTGAAGAGTTTTTGAGACAGTGTAGTTCTTGAGAAGAGGGAGATTTCTGGGATGTCAGAGGAAGGTCAGCCAGGTGCTTTCTCTGCCTGAGGTAGCAGGCTTTCACCCCAGCATCTGGCTCCCAGAGTCTCTATTGGTAACAGTTGAGATTTTGTTAAAAACACTCATGTTCACATAAAATATGGGCAGGATTCCTTTCAGTAACCTTCTTACGACAGTTCAAAGTTGGAAACAACCCAAACAGCCTCAACAAGAATGGTGAAGCTAATGACACGTATCAGCAGAGTGTGGCAGTAGTAGGGGCACATGCTGGGGTCGTTCTATCATCTACAGTCACAAGGTCTGGGCCAGCCAGGGCTGTACGAGACCCTTCTTAAAAAACTAGGGAAGGTTGCCGGGCGGTGGTGGCGCACGCCTTTAATCCCAGCACTCGGGAGGCAGAGCCAGGTGGATCTCTGTGAGTTCGAGGCCAGCCTGGTCTACAGAGCGAGATCCAGGAAAGGCGCAAAGCTACACAGAGAAACCCTGTCTCGAAAAACAAAAAACAAAAACAAAACAAAAACAAAAAAAAACTAGGGGCTGGAGAAACGGCTCAGTGGCTAAGAGCACTTGTTCTTGCAAAGGATCTGGGTTCATTTTCCAGCATCTATATTTCAGCTCACAACCACCCATAACTCCGGTTCCAAGAGATCACGGACGGACAGGGACAGATGGACGGACCCGGACGGACGGACGAACAGGCAGGCAGGCGCGCGCACGCACGCGCACGCGCACACACACACACACACACACGCACACGCACACACAGAACAAACAGCATAATGAAAGGGTACTGGACTTATCCTTAGGCAAGGCTATAAGCTATGACCCTGGAACATTTAATCTCCTTCAACGGCTCTCAGTATTTTCGCTGGTCTCAAATGTCTTCCATTGCTAATATCACATGATTCTGCACAGCTGCAGAAAACGCAACACAACTATTGCTGGGAGGCAGGGACATCACCTGAGCTTCTGAGTTTGGGGACAAGGCAAGGATCCATCTCTGATTTATTGATTTTTTTCTATGTTGTCAAATATCATTTTTTAATAACGGGGGAAACTAGGCATGGTGGTTCACATTTGTAATTTCATATTCTATAGGCTGGAGCAAGAAGGTTACCATGAGCTCAAAGCCAGCCTGGCTACACAGCCAATTTTTCTTTGATGGAGCTTGAGATCAAACCCAAGGCCTCACACTAGCCAAGTACTCTACCAGCAAGCTAAATCCTTCACCCATGAAATTTATCTTCTCCATCTAAAAGGCTAAAGGGGTGTGCAGCTTTCTTGATGATGGCCCACAAATGAACACACAGCCACTCTTGTATGTGAAAAGGCAAGACTCCAATTCAGTAGATCTATGATCTTTCTCTTATAGCAAACAGAGGCACTTAACTGACATCTAGTATCTGCAACCAGAACCAGCTTCACTTTTATGAAACCAAGACAGGGTGAGCTTAAAGAGACAGATCATGCAACAGACTGAGGACACACATGCCAGGACTTCTGTTCCCTTCACACAAAGATCGAATTTCATTTCTCCCATTTCCAGACATCTCTGCCTTCACCTTGCTGGTTTGCTGCTGCCACCACACCATCTTATTTACAGAGACATGGCAGCTTTGTTCATGCTAACCCAGACGCAGAGGGTCTTCTCAGCTACAGGTAAAGTGGATCAGACACCAAGAAAGCAGCCACTGTCACAGTACACTGGGCAAGCCCTGAGAGACAAGGCTAGGTTTTAACTAAAAATGAAAACAAGTATTTTACACTAAAAACAAAATGCCAATTTTTCATTCTTTAAGATGATTTTACTTTTATAATTTTTTACATTTACTTATTATGGGCTGTGCGTACATGACTGCCAGTGTCATTCAAGTCAGGGACACTTGAGGGAGTTGCTTCTCTCTCCCACCATGTTAATTCTGGGACTTGAACTCAGGTCATCAGGTTCAGTAGCAAGTGCCTTACCAGCTGAGCCATCTTGTCACCCTTAATTTTCCAATCCTTTGTATTTTTAGAACAGAAAAACCTTCAACATTCAATAATTCAGGAGTTCTCTTTTTTTTTTTAAACAAATGATAAAAGAGTTTAATTAATGAAGACAGGTCTAATTCTGAGGCAAGGCTGTAAGGGAAACAAAGAAGACTATGCTGGAGGATATGGTTTACTCTTTGTTTTTTGAGCTTGTATAGGCTGGCCTCAAATTCACAGTATTTATCCAGCATCAGATTCTGGAGAACTAAGATTAATGCCATGGCACCTAGCACCAAAAGTGTCTTATTTGGGGCTAGAGAAATGGTTTCAGCTTTGCAATAGATCTGAGTTCAGTTCCTAGCATCTACATCAGGCAACTCATAACTGCTTAGAACACCTTCACTGGCCCCCTACAGGCACCTGCACCGACTTACACACACCCATTAAAGATGAAATAAATCTCCTCTAAAGTGCCGTGCTGGTTAGTTTTTGTCAAACTGACACGAATCTAGGCGTATTTGGGAAGAAGGAATCTCAACTGGGAAAATGCCTCTGTAAGACCGGCCTGTAGGCAAGTCTGTTGGGTTTTGGTTAATGATTGATGGGGGAGGACCCCGCTACCTCACTGTGGGTGCTGCCATCCCTGGGCAGGTGGGCCTGGGGTATATAAGAAAGCAAGCTGATCAAGCCAGGAGGAACGTGTCAGGTAAGACGTGTTCCTCCATGGCTTCTGTCTCAGTTATGCCTTGAGTTCCTGTTCTGACTTCCCTTCATGATGGACTGGGATGTGGAAGTGTAAGCTGACATGACATAAACCCCTTTCTCCCCAAGCTGCTTTTGGTTATGGTGTTTTATCACAGCGATAAAAACCCTAACTAACACAAGTGCCTCTTTGCTTATTTTTAATTTTATTTTTTTTTTAAGATTTGTTTATTTATTATGTGCCAGATCTCATTACAGATGGTTGTGAGCCACCATGTGGTTGCTGGGAATTGAACTCAGGACCTCTGGAAGAGCAGCCAGTGCTCTTAACCGCTGAGTCATCTCTCCAGCCCCGCTTATTTTTAATTTTAATAATCTTTATTTATTTGTGTGTATGTGTGCTGGGGGTGCACACATGCTAAAGTGCACATATAGATGACAGAAGATAACTTTTGGGGGAGAAGATTGCTCCTCTTCTTCCAGCATGGGGTCCAGGGACTGAACTCCAGCTGTCAGGCTTGGAAGCAAGCAGCTTTACATTCTGAGCCACTGTTTGGTCCAAATGTGGTTTAAATAAGAGTCCTTAAATAAGTTCTAAAAGCCTTTTACAGAATAATGCTTTCAATATCTTTTGACATAGCATTCCAAAGTATTTGCACTACAAAAGGACTTAAATGGCATAATGGCGCGTAATCACAGCACTCAGGCAGATCTCTGTGAATTCAAGGCCAGCCTGCCTGATATGGTGATCTACATACTGAGTTCCAAGACAGCCAGGGCTATCTAGCTAGAGACCCTGTCTCCAAAAACAAAAAAATCAAAACAAACATTTCTTAAACTACAAGTATACACAAAACAAACAAACAAGAAACTCGAGGAGAATGAATTAGGGTTCTTAGGCCCAGTTAGGGTAATGTCATTACAACCTTCAAGTGTAAGGAATGAGCATCTGCCAATGATCGGCACAGCACTCACCGAGATATTATTGCCACCGACTCGCTGGGGGAGATAACACTTAAGGAAGAGCACTCTGAGTCTCCTGTAGAGAAGAACAGAGAAATCCTCAGCAGAAGACGGTGCTGCATGTGCACCCTCACCAAGCCCAGGCAACTATTTCTACACCCTGGCTGTCAACCCTTCTTGAGGGAGCAATGAGCACCACTCCTGCTCTGCACTGCATTCCTTGAACTGAACAGATGAGAGGAGGCAAGACCAGTGAGACAGAGGGGCTAGAGACCAAAGGCCCTCACAAGCTCCCAAGTTAGGCCCCCAAAGCAAATGACTGATCCAGGATAATGTCAGTCAAGCCTGGCATACACTGTTATCCCCCTTCCCTAGGGGACAGTGACCAAACCCCATAGTAAGAGGCAAAAGGATTTCTTACTTACCTTCCTCTTCGTCATTTTCATCATGGCTGCAGCAATCTTCCAAACCATCTCCTAGTTCATCTTCTGTATCTTCAGGCTCCACCTGGTTTGGCTGGAGGTCAGTAGCTGAACTGAAAGAAAAGAATCATGCCTCCACCCAGGCCAACTCCATAAAAGAAGTCACACTGGAGTCTCATTCCTTCACTGTCTCCCAGTAACAGTCTCCTCATCACTAATCTGCTATTTCTTGCCTGGACCTCATAAACTATTTCTCAGGTCCTCAGAATTTAGGTCCAGCCATAGTTCCTCAGTTGTACATCCCTCATTTGCATATCATTTTCTTTGAAGTCTCTTTACAGTATGTAAGTTTAAAATTCTGCATACAAAAGTCATCAGTGAGTATCTGGTAATTTACATGTCCTTGGGATGCTCACTGGGAACTCAGAAGGCCTTGGTGGATCAAGGTTCTGGAACAATAACAAGACACAGGAGAAAGAACCAACTATGTCTATGTCTTCAACTCTGAATTGCTATCATACCAAGAATGCATGGAAATGCAATTTGGTTTGGAGTAAGTAGAAAAGTCACAGATCCTAAGATGTGTCTGGAATTCTTACTTCTCCCCTGGTAATAACCTAAAACAGGGATGGGCAAACTCTCCAAAGGAACTATCAGTAAACAGCTTCAGTTTTGTAGGTCATTCAGTCACAACTTTCCAACTCTACTGTTGTAACAAGAAAGCAGACAAAAAACCATAGTAAATAAATGGACAAGGCTGCATCCAATAAAACTGTTTAAAAAAGCAAGAATTAGTCTGCAAGCTAGTTTTCCTTCCCCACCTTAAAATCAATCCCTACATTAGAGCGAAAACTAAAACTTGTAGGACAGCTAAAAAATAAAACCAACTATCAGAGGTAGAGGGTAGCAGTGTCCCCAGATTATGGTCTAACTACTGTACTGTTCTAAATGAACCAAAGACAGGGTGCAACTTACCAACTACCCCTAGCACTTGAGCTCAGCTCCTTGGCTTCCTCAGGCTCCTTCCCAGGCTGGCCAAGATGGACAGAAGAAAGGCGGGTGGCCACTTCAGCTACACCAAGAGGCTGGAGGGAAGAAGGGGGAACAGGAGCTCTGTCTTCTCCAAGTAATTGGGGGTCAACTATAGACCCACAGGTAGGGCTGGGGTTGAGCCCATGGACATGTGAGGCAAGGAGGTGAATGCTGATCCTTTTGGTACAAAAGACTGTACTGTCCAACCCCAAAGTGTCTGAGGCACCAGGAAGGATCCCACTGTCTAATCCAATATCCTCCTGAGGAAACCGCTGGCCCATCAGAGGTTTCCACCGCCTGCTTCTGTTGAGAAGACCCCACTGGAAGCTGGGATTCACAAAACAAGCCTGCTCAAACTGGTAGCCTTGCCGTGGCATCTTCTCAAAGCCTTTTGCAGTCAACTTCCTCACAGCCTCAGTGAAGTGTACCTCTTTAGTAGCGCTCTGGGAATCCGGGTTTTCATCCAGGCCACAGGGATGTGCCTCCATCCTAAAGTTACTCTGACTGCACTGGGAAGAGGTAACACTGGCTGTGGATATATTGAAGGTGCTAGGGATAGATGGGGTGTTAGGGGCAGTGGCATCATCTAAGACAGCGCCAATGCTTTGGGGTACCTTATGGTCACCAGGCTGGGATACACAGTCTCCAGTACCCCCTGAATGATGCCAGGAGACAGGCTGGATCTTGGGTGAGGATACTGGCTTCAGGCCATCTGTGGCTTGTGATAAGGGCACTTTAGTGCTATTTGGCCTCATGAAGGAGTTGTTGTTCAGCATGGGCTTGTAGGAGGACAGTGGAGATGCAATCTTCCCTGAGATGGCAGAGGACAGGCTCTTCCTTGAAGGATTTTCCCCAGCTGCTGCCAGTGAGAGGTATGGATCAGTGGGTGAAGACGCCATGGGCTGGGCCATGGGGAAGACTGTAGAAGATGTGACTTTATTGGCAGTGACACTGACAGGGAGACCCTTCTGAGGGAGAGAAAAAGGTCTTTTCTCTGATGGGCTGGAACGCAAGCAGAAAGATTCCAGTTGCTGGTATGGTTTTTGCCTCACGTTGGTGCGGCGGTATAGCAGAGTATTGCTGAACAAGTCAGGGAGAGATTGCAGGTAACAGGGATTGCTGTGGCCTGCAACGACAGCTGTAGTCCCAGAGCTACATAGAGTGCTGGGGCAAAAGAAATAGGCTGGCTGGGGTGGGACTCCCAAGAGACTGGTGCCCAGCCCTGCTGACAGTGTGCCTACGTGCTTCCTTTCCAGTTTCCAGATTGGCTTCACCTGCTGATGGGCCTGAGCCCAGACTCTGACCTCCGAGGGTTTCTCGGGTGGTGAAGCAGACACTGTGCCTGAGGGATGTCTCTGCTTGAAGCTGTTTCCTCGGCGGCGCAGGCCAATATTGTAGTACTCTGTTCCTGCTGAGGCCATGAGGGGCCCACATCATGGTGACATGGCCTCATGGTCTGGCTCAGGTAAGGTGCCACACACCGCTAGCACCAGCTGCATCCTTGAATCCGTCAGCCTGCAGGGAGAGAAATGATTGGAAATGCTGCTGGCTTGTAAGGATGGGTCCTGAACTATGTAAGTAATAGGGTCTTGCTTCCATGTTAGTGACCAGTCTTGGTCATCATTTGGGGTCCTGGGAGAAGAACACAATTCCAGGGAGTTTGCAGTGGCCTTCCTGAGGTCTCCACAGGATCAAATCTGGCTCTATCAAAAACTAAGATTTTGGGGGCTGGAGAGATGGCTCAGAGGTTAAGAGCACTGACTGCTCTTCCAGAGGTCCTGAGTTCAATTCCCAGCAACCACATGGTGGCTCACAACCATCTGTAACGAGATCTGGTGCCCTCTTCTGGCCTGCAGGCACACATGCTGTATACATAATAAATAAATCTTAAAAAAAAAAAAAAAAAAAAAAAAAAACAAACAACCGAGCTAAATGACATTTAAAAAAAAAAAAAAAAAAAAAAAAAAAAAAAAAAAAAAAAAAAAAAAAAAAAAAAAAAAAAACTAAGATTTTAAGGGTCCACCAGTGCGAGGTTGCTCATGTGTCCACACTCTCAGAAAGCTTGCCTCTCTCCAAAGAGAGTAGTTGTTGGGTAGATATGATTAAGAGAGACACACACATATAAATATGGAACTGTCAAAGAAAAAGTTAAAGCCTTTTTTAAAAAATAAATAAATAAAAAATAAGTGTCTATTACCATCCCAGACTGTATCTGAATGGCTACCTTTTGTACTTAATATGGTAGGTAGGTCTGAAAGCGGCAAAGACCAGCCTGTATCCCCTTCTCAACTCATTCAGAAAGCTCAAAGGTTGTCCAAGAATGCATTGGCTCTACTGCTCTTGTTCCAATTAAACTGTCTTTACTTTGGTCCTTTTTTTTAAACTAGACAAATTCAGACAGAAATAGAAATTTTTCTGGCTAACCCTGAAATCTGTTTGAACAATTTCATCTCTTCAAGAATCTTGTCAACCATTCCAACTACAATTCCAACCAACATACTGGTTGGAAAGAAGGAAGGTCAGAACTAAACACCAACACTTTCTTACTTGCAGTGGTGACTTGATCCTCAGCATCCATATGGAACGGAGAACTGAGGGAGAGGCAGAAAGGCAGGAAAAGAACAGCACCTTTCACTCCAGGACCCAGCCTGCAGTCTGGTACTCTCTGGGGGTGGAGAAATTGTTTTGTATGTCTTCTCTTTCAAATTTTTCTCTAAAGCAATATATGCCCAGCCTTATCTCACAATTCTTCAACATGGTCACTGTCTAGATAGAACTCACAGAACATTCTAGTTCTCACAGCTGTGGGGAAAAGGTGGATCTGCCTGCATGACCACATCCAGAGGGAACTAACACCTGTCTAACCTCAGATGATGGAATCCTGATATCCCTATCAAGAGAGCTAGAGAAGGAGTCAGCAGGGAGATTTTTGTTCAAGTTGCATTTATGATATAACAGGAAGAGATTGTGTATTTTGAACAGAGTATTGTCCAAGATCCAAGAGCCCTGTCTACAACCACTAGAGGGGAGACACCAACAAAGAGCCTGAAGAAGTCATGTGATGTTGCCCTCCTTTCCTACAAACGCGGACCTACAGGGAGCCCTTTTCAAGAGTACAAAACATACAAGACGACAAAACGAAGGGTGAGCTAAAAACAGGATAAGTGCTATAAACAGTATTGAGGTCAGTATCCTCAAAAAGAAGAGACAAAATGCAACTCCACTCAAGTCCACATGCTGGAAATAGTGTTTAGGGGACAATTAACCTATACATATACAATAGAGAAGCCTGACATTGAAGGAGTCAAGCCCTACTGATGACTTTGTAAGACAGCACATGTGTACAATGTATGAGTGCTGGGTACACTCAAAAGACTCACAATTCAACTCAATTCTCTTTCAGGAACCCACATCTTGCCCTACCAATGCAACGCAATAGATACCCCAAAGCAATAGAACACAAGCGCTAAGGAAATAAAACCCAAGGCTGGCATCCCCTGAAAAACAATTCCACTAATGAGTTCCTAATCACTTCTATGCTTTTATAAGTTCTGGCCCAAGGCTTTATGGGTGACACGTCTAAGAGCATTCCATAGATTTCTCACCAATACCACAGATAATCCCACTTTCCCCCACAGCTGTCAATCAAAACCACTGCATAATACCTCAGAGCTAGACAGGTGGATGAAGAGACCCTTCCTTCTGATATACATACTACTCGATTTTTCTTCTCTGTAACTCACCAGGTAATTAATCCTGTGTCATGAACATCGACCACAGACTCCAACTGGTTTGTTCTTTGTTTTTTGTTTGTTTTTTGACAGGATTTCACTATACAGCTTTGGTGAGCTTGAAACTCAATATGTAAACCAGGATAACCTCCAGCTCACAGACATTTGCTTGCCTCTGTTTCCCAATTCTGGGATTAAAGGCATATGCCACTGCACCTGGCTGGCGTGCCTTTTAATACAACTAAGGAAGGAGGAGTCTAAGGATAAAATCCCACCATCTTCAAAGGCTAAGGGTAGCTGGCTCCCACACGGTATCCAACTGGCAACCTGAGTTAGCCCCAATGTAGGTGAACTCTTTTCTCACTGATGAGATACTCTTGTCTCTGAGACAATCATTTCCACTTTTTCTGTTCCATGGTGTGTAGGATAACAATTTAGAGGAAGGCCTTGGTCTTTAAGAAAAGTGTCTGTATGTACGGTCCAGGGAGGTGAGACGGTTTCTTTAATTATGACAAAGAGTTCCACAGCTCATAAGAGACATCCAGTGTCGGCTAACATGGAGGTGTTACGAAGTGCCAAGCAAAGACAAATCTGCTGTGTCAGATACTCTGTAGACAGTGGCTCCAAGAAAACAAAGTAAACAGTACCACTCCACAGCAGTGTCACTTAGAGGTGCCTCAATCTGGCTTTAGTTCAGAAGTAGTTTCTGGCTCAAACAAGGAAATGATGCTTGCTAAAAGCAACTTCTTTCTCTCTGGAAATTCCTAATGAAATCAAAACTCAGTGTCATGGGAAACAGATTTAGTGACAATATTCAAGCACTCTGTGTCCCCACCACTGCCAGAGGCCACATTTTCCTGTGTGATGCCCAGTGCCTACAGGAATGTGAGTGTCAAGCTTAAAAAGATTTGAAAGGGTCCAAATTCTAATAATTTGAGGAAATCAAATTATTTTCAAATCAATTTGAAAATAGTTTCAAAAGCTAACACACTAAGAACAGTGAGTTCTAGCTGGGCAAAGTGACACACGCCTTTAATCCCAGTAGTGTGTGTGTGTGTGTGTGTGTGTGTGTGTGTGTGTGTGTGTGTGTGTGTGAGGTGGTGGGTGGAGGCAGAGGCAGGCAGATCTCTGAGCTCGAGGGCCAGCCTGGTCTATGGAGTTCTAGGACAGTCATGGCTGCACAGAGAAACCCTGTCTCCAAACAAAACAAAACAACAAAAAATGCTAAGCTCCACCATCAAGTCAAAGTCCACACAGGCAGATACTGCCTGGCTCCCAGACACCCTCACAAGGCAGCTTCCTGCTGGGCGAAACCCATCCCCTGAAGTATTCTCTTGATTTCGAACACAGTATCATTTCACAAGCTTTTTCCCAGCCCCTTAAACATGTAAGTGTACTGTGATGACACACTGTGGATCTATCTGTATGCCTTTAGGACCCAGGGATCAGACTGTCCTTCTCCCAAAGGAAGCATTAGGATGAGCCACCCAGGGAAAGAGAAGAGGAAGCAAAGACGTGTGGAAGGCCATGCACAGACCATTGGTAGAAGTCTTCCTTCACAAATACCCAATTTAGTCTGGTGTGTTAGTGTGCGCCTTTAATTCCTGCATTCAGGAAGCAGGTGGCTCTCTATGAGTTCAAGGCTAGACTACTCTACACAGTCAGTTCTTAGCCAGCTAGAGCTATACAGTAAGATCCTGTCTCAGAACAAAGACAAATACCCAATTTAGCCAGGCATGGTAGCACACGTCTTTAATCCCAGCTCTTGGGAGGCAGAGCCAGATAAAGCTCTGTAGATTCCAGGCCAGCCTGGACTACACAGTGAATTCCAAGCCAGCTAGGGCTACATGGTGAGACCCTGTCTCAAAACAAAGAAACAAAAAACCCCAAACCACCCTACCACGACTTAGCATGCACATAGTGTACACACATACATGGAGGCAAACTTACACAGATAAAACAAAAATATTTAAAAGTAGCCAACTTAAGTCAAATTTCATAAAAGCAATTGATAATTAAGCAAATTAAAAAGCATTTTCTGGGGCTGGAGAAATGGCTCAGTGGTTAAGAGCACTGGCTGTTCTTTCAGAAATCCCGAGTTCAATTCCCAGCAACCACATGGTGGCTCACAGCCGTCTGTAATGAGATCTGGTGCCCTCTTCTGGCCTGCAGGGATACATGCAGACAGAACACTATACATAATAAATAAATAAATCTTTTTTAAAAATTTATTTAAAAAAAGAATTTTCTGAGGCTGGAGAGATGGTTCAGTGGTTAAAAAGCACTGACTGCTCTTCCAGAGGACCCAGGTTCAATTCCCAGCACCCAAATGGCTCACAACTGTCTGAAACTCATTTCAGGACATCTGTTGCCTTCTTCTGGCCTCCACAGGTACCAGGCACATATGGACAGACATACAGGCAAAATAACCATACGCATAAAATAAAATTTTAAAAAGAGAATTTTCCATAAGCTCTATTATTTTTATTTAATTTACATACTTTTAAAACTGCGAGTGCACATACCACACACACACACACAACTTAAAGACAGGCACAGGCATTTGTACTTATTTTCTCTGCATATAACCAAATGACCCAACATTGCCTGACCCCCCAATCAGCCCCTTGCAAAGAACTTTCTTAGGGAGCCAATAAACTGAGCTCCCCTGGGAAATAGCAGTGTGAATAATCTAACATTTTAGAGAGTAAATGAAATTACATGGTTCTTGTCCCTATATATTAACCCCAGGGAACAAGAAGAGCTAAGAGGAAGAGGGTGTAC